CCAGGAAGGCAGTGTTTGCTATTACGAAGGTCATTGGTTTATAGTAACCGCTCTATTTCAGATCGACAAGCGGTCTTAATTGCTGTGCCACAAGCTCGTATTTCTGATTTCTATAGTAATTCAGTATATGGTCAAACATGTGATTCAGTGTTAAGCGTCAGTCCTTTCAGCTGTTTTTTTTTCACATGTTTACTGATTGCCCTCCTTTTTTTTGTTATTTGTAAGTTTTTTAAATTTTTTTGTTGTAGAAAATAAACACTATTGTTTTTGACCGACACTGCTTCCCTAATGGAACAAGCGACTTGATTCGTTGGGTACCATGCCAAAAAGGGAGCATCTGCAATGAGACGAGCAAGGAGAAAGTGAGGATTTTAAATTTCAACTCTTTTCCTGCAAAATTTTGGTTTGACGGTTCAATTTTTCAATTCATTTAGGATTTTATATTGTCTTTTCTTTCCTACTTTTCTTTAGGTCAATCATGGATATCAGTTAACGTTGAGAATTGAGCAGTTGGATACTCCGCAGTACTGGTACGTTATTTTGATGAAATGTACTCTCAACGAGAATTGCAGTTGGGTGCCTCCGAGAAAAAATATTGACCTTAATTATGATTTGTGGCTTACCAATGGCAACCCTATGTCAAAGAACACTGACTTGTTCTCATATCAGTTCAGTTTTGATGAACAGGTTTTGTTTAGCTTAAATTGGTTTTTCTTTTTTAATATTTTTACTTCTAATAATACTTTTATAGATTATTTATGCTTTATGTACGGCTGACTGCTTTTAATTATTTAGGATACTATTCTGATTTACTTCGCTGCTCTCGTTATGTATTTAACTCTATCTTTATTTGAATGGCGTGCAGTTGTGACTCGTAAACAGACATATATTTCAAGCAAACAAAAACTTTTGTGTCTCATCTTGTTTACTAAGATTTTGGGTTTATTTTTGCAAACTTTAAACATTATTGTGTTTGCATATGACGGCAGGGTGAGTGAATAATTTTTGCTGAGTATATGCTTGAAACTTTGTAACATTTATTTTTTTGAGCTTGAGCAAAAGAATTTTTAATATTATTTTTAAGGCATGATTACTAGCTATCGTTCAGAAGACTTGGTAAATTATTTCTTGATTAACTAATGCTAAAACTTTCTTAATTGCAGGGACTATTTGTTGCCCGATTTCTTGGAGAATTTTTTCGTCTTTTTGCTGTCTGTATATTATATTTACTGCTCATTCTTCTCAGTCGCGGGTGGTCCATCAACGATTATGGTAAAAGCGCATTAAACCGTACAGTAATCGTTGTTTGGGCACTCATCGTCTTACTGCATTATTTTTTCTTCTTTGCGAATTTTGTAAGTCTATTTCCTTGTTTGTTGTTTTTACCTTTTCGCTTTGATTTAGTAAAAAATGAACTTCAAAATCTTGGACTTTTATAATTGCATAATAACGTGGATGACTTTACAAAGTTTTTCAGTTTTTTGTTGTGGATATTTTACATGATATTGACGTATTCAAGTCGTGGCCAGGTTACGGGATGTTGCTTATAAGAATGTGTCAAGCACTATGGTTTCTAACAGAGATTCGATATACTATCAGGCGGTATTTGCTATTTTTTATACATCTAACTTTTAGGCGAATACTTTTTTATTATGTTGTTGTTTTTTTTTTTTTCAGCGAACGCGATGAAGAGCGAGCAATTTTTGTTGC